ATATATATATATATATATGGCTAAAACGTTGCCTAAATATTTCTCAAATGACAGGCCTGTTACTTGTGTGTGTTTGCGATGCATCTTAGAGAAGGCTCTGCTGTAAAAACTCCAATGTAAATAAAGTCATTAATTAGTTAATTCATTAAGCCCATAAACGTCTGTGTGGTGTGTATGGGAAATGCAGCGCTTTCAGTGGACTTTTTGATGCTTAGTGCTCAATCGTCAAGTTGCTGGCACCAGCGTTTTGCGAGGTAGCCCATCTAAAGAGGATGTCCCCTGTCTGTGCAATCAATGCAACTCTTAATGTGTTTTGTCATCATTTTATTTGTGTCCGCTCTCTACTCGGCTGGACAAACACCCTCAGCTGAGCATGTACACACACACACACTCACATTCATGTAGAGCATGAGTAGTTAGCTGTTTGGCAGGCAGCCGGCGCTTATGGACAGCTCTGTACATACTTCAGATATTTGCTCACTTTGACTATTATTTCTTCATAATAAGGTTGAGGCCCAAACTATGCAATATGGAAGTTACCACTCATAACATCACCACTAAAATCTAGGATTTCTTGCGTTTGTTATAAATCTGTGATTAATACTGTTGTTTTTTTCTGTTGACCATGATTTTACAGTTATTTTAGCAGCAAAACAACAAACAGCAAACAAATAATCATGGTTAGCAAAAGGTTCAATAAATCATGTTTTTTATTTATTTATAATAAGTAAGCAATCATTTTATTAATTTTAAAAGTAATGTTAAAGTGCAAGTAAACAAAGATACAACTGGAATGATTAGTTTTGTGATTATATATATTCTCATCATGTCCTCTTGATTATTTAATTCTATTAGTGTTTAATATTAAATGTATTAAATTATATATATTAATATTCAATATAAATATAATGATTTAATATATCTTCACTTTGCATCAGCCTGTGGTGTCATGTGTCGTTGTTCTTAAATCTGCTTAACATCTCTACAGGAATCTCAATGACCTTACTGCAGTCAAAAGATGGCATTCAGTACTTCACCTTTGAGCACAGTCGGGACTACCAGCAAGTACAGTTCAAGTTCCTGGATGCTGTCGAGTCCATGGATCCCAACAACATTGTGGTAAAAAGAAGTTAATCTCTGCTGTGCACTTCAACTTCTCATATCAGGCGTCCTCAGTACTGATGTTTTCATGGATCCGTAAAATTACAGTGTTATCCTGAATAGGCATGAAATTACACTGTCATCAGTATAAACAATGGACAGATGCAATTAAAATATCCTTGTTCATAAACATACAAGACTGTGTACCTTTTATTACATTTTCTTCTGTTCTTCTGACTTAATGTCTTTGTCCATCTCATCTTTTTCTCCCCAGGCCCTGCTACAGCTTAACCCCTACCACATTGATTCCTTGCTGCAGCTCTCTGATGTCTGCCGCATACAGGAGGATCAGGAGATGGCCAGGGACCTCATCGGTGAGAATTAGAGGCTCCTTCCATTAATTATATAAAAGATAAAGTCTTTTTATTGTCACTTTCACAGTATATACAGCAGTTACAGCATTTTACATACATGAAAATAAAGTTGTCCTCTGCATTTAACCCATCCTATATGCATATCAATTCTAAATCAAAGACAAGACTATAAATGAGTCTAGGGCCCAGCAATGACCCAGGTGTCAAATTAATAAGCAGTGTTTTAGAGTCATATCCAGGGATCCAAAATGTTTGACCAGAATCATTTGTAAGTGCAACAGATTAATGTAACTTAAAGGAAAACCAGTATTATTTGTTGTATTGAGTGTGTAACAATTTCTTCCTATATTTTTAAGCTGTTATCAAGTATTAACCCAGAAGTTATTGGTCTGCGTTGAATGCTGAAAGAGTTTTTTCTTGCAGAGTCTGCTTACTACAGACGCTGCTTCTGTTCCCATTTTGTATTTTTAATAGACACCAGAGTTTTGTAGAAACATGAACTAACGCACTTTCTCTTCACACATTAGTCTGTTTGTCATTATAGCTAACAGGACCAGGGACATGCTGTACATTTGTCATTATTAATTTTTCTCTTAATTTCTCCCAACAAGGATGCTTTTTCGTTAAGGGCATGAAAAATCATTCCCTTTGCCCTTACAATTTAAAAAAAAGTATTTTTCTATTATGACAGTTATTCCTGTTATAAATGCATTGTTTTTATTGCACTACATGGTATCATACAAAATCAAGTACCAGACATTTCCATTTTTATCCTGTTTTTTTTCTCAGGTGCCGGTTATGTGAACTCTTTAAAGATTCTTGTGAAGCGACATTCTTACAGTTAACAGAGAAATTATCTGAAAAATAAATAAAAAAAAATATATATTTCTCACTTACAGTCTTTACTTGTTAGAACTACTCAAAATATTGATATAAGATGCAAAAGATGCTGTATTCAGATCACTGATGATTACTAATTTTTGTCAGATTATCAAGCAAAATAATTGTGGTTATTTTTGTGCTGAGTGTCAGTGTGATTTTGTAGATTTCAAATCAACAAAACAGCCATTGTTTGAAAAAAAAAAAAATCAAAGTTCATGGTCCATGAAAAGCACAATGCTAGGTTTATTATCACAGGCCCTCCCCTTGACTGGATAGCTAAAATAGTTTATGTAGAAGAAGGCCAGAGGGATCATTTAACAAAGGGCGTTTGTCTTATACCCTGGCTAATTTAATAACATCAGATGAACTTTAACATAAGGCAGAGAAATAAAGACAGTTGTTTACAGTTCGGGTGTTTTTGAAAGCCCTGCTGGTGAGGTGACCTGTGAAAAGAACACAACTGGCACAACCCTGTGTTGAGTACTGCTTTCTGTATACTGTGAGATACCCAGCTTCCTGATACTTCTGTGAAAATGTATAAATTCCCTTTTTGTTTTTTTTGTTTTTCAGAGAGGGCCTTGTACAGCTTTGAGTGCGCTTTTCACCCTTTATTCAGTCTGACCTCAGGTACCTGCAGACTTGATTATCTGAGACCAGAGAACAGGTTGGTTTTTCCCTATGTTTTTGCTTTTGTCAGACATGTTGCTTTTGTGAGGCTGGGTTCCTCACCAGATTATTATTTGTAATTTAAAGGACCAGTGTGTGGGATTAAGTGGCATTTAGTGGTGAGGTTGCTGATTGCAATGGTTTGAATACAGCTCAGCCTTCCTAACGTGTAGGAGAAACTATAGTAGCCCTATCTAGAGTCAGTTTTTGGTTTGTACATTCTGGGCTTCTGTAGAAACATGGGAGCCTCTGTGGAAATGGACCCGCTTCCTCTGTAGATACAAACAGTTCATTCTAAGATAACAAAAACACAACAGTTCCTATTTTCAGATGATTTGACACTTATGAAAACATACCAATTAATATTATATTCCATTTCTGCCAATAGATTCTCCGTAATGTTACAAACTGGACCGGTAATTTGAGTTTGCAGGATTTAACAATTAAATGATTCAATAATCTCTGTTTGCAGGGCATTTTATTTGGCTCTTTATAAACACATGATGTTCCTGGAGAAGAGAGGATGCCCACGGACGGCTTTGGAGTACTGCAAACTGATCCTGAGGTACGAGGGGAAAAGCTCAAGCAGCGGGAAAAGATAAGATAAAAGAAAAGATATATTGAGTTAAAGGAAAAATGTAAAATGAGAGAAAATTCTCAATTTCAAGGCTGCCCAATAACTTAGCTTTTACCTCAGTTAGTCATTATGGCCCCGGTCTCTTTATGACTAACTTGTCTACTTTGTTTCCAATTATCTCTGACCCTCTCTATTTCTACAAAGAGAAGGAAGGTGGCAGTTTAGACATCTCATAGGAAAGAATTGAATATGATCACATGGCTTGTCAGCTAAACAAAAAGAACTCTTATTTCCCTGAATAAAATAACGACCAACAGCAGTCATCAGACTTGGGAGATAGTCTTCAAAGAAAGTTAACTCAGCTATTTGGTTTGTGTTCTGCCAGTGGTAATCCTGTTCAGGAACAGAGGGTAGTCAAGTAACAATTTGGCTGTTGTAAGTTATGGTTATATCACCTTTTATCTGTGCAGAGTGATTATGTACACCTCAAACTTGTTTCAAGGTGAAAAACAATTGAGTATGTGTTTCAAGCAAGGTCTTCCAAATCCCCAATGTGTGCTGTTTTATTGATGATGAAGTTGATGTTTTTTTAAAGATGAATGCTTTTCTCCATTTATTAAACTTTATAACAGTGACATAGTGAAACTCCAAAACAGTCACTGTAAGTCTTTTAAACCTCACTACATAACATAAAACCTCCCGTATCATGCTGGTACAGACACTACTTTCGTAAGGCTTTATGCACACTTAGAGGGCTATTCCCACGCACTGCAGCCATCGGTCTGCCATAGCTTTAGTTTTACAGCCTATCCATATAATGGTCAGTGCTTATCTATAATTTTCATCCAACTCTGGCTTCCTGACAGCTATGTTCTGGTCCTTTTGTAAAGCAGCAGTGTGGGAATAAAAGCTGACAGCTGTCCTCCTCCAACCAGCAGTTATTAAATCACAGTTAACTTAAAATGCCAACGTGATTGATAACATAATCTTAAAATGCACTCTTTAAACCCGCATATAATATGATTAACACTGAAATCCACTGTTTCAGAGAAAAGAAACAATTGTATTTTTATTCGCCTGTTGTGTTTTTCCGAGCACTAACTAACAAAATTATTATTAATTCACTTATTTCGTTGTCAGTTGCGAAAGACACCATGGTTACTTAAAGGACCAGTGTGTAGGATTTAATGGCCTCTAACGGTGTAGTTGTAGAATGCAACTCTCTCACTTCACCCTTCCCTTTCAAACACACACACAAAAGTGGGAATATTTGAATTTAAGCTAAATCTCAGCTATAACCAGCAGTGTGTTTCATGGACAGAACAGCGGTTACCACAGGAAGATGTGTGGGATGAGACTCTTAATTGAACTTGAATTCAGATATTTGGTTGGTCTGTGTTTTGGTGCTTGTAGTAATCATTTGCTTGTGGTTTCTTATCAGTTTGGACCCAGACTCTGATCCACTTTGCATGCTCCTGCTCATTGATTTCCTGACGCTGCGTTCCAGAGAGTACCAGTCTCTCCTCCAGTTATATCAGGACTGGGAGGTAAAGTGTGCTTCCATTTGCAGACAGGGTCTAAAATCAACTTTTTGGCTCACAGCAGCTAAACTGAGAAAGTTTAGCAGTCAATTTTTTTTTTATCACCCATAAAGCTGCATCATGCAATATTTGACTAAAAACAATAATTAAAATCAGAAAGTTTTGAGCTTTATATTAGTCTCAGCCAGTGCACCTAAAAACACATCAACGTAAACCTGTGCATGCACTGTTATTCCAAATTATTTACCGGCCCACTTTATTTTAAATTTTGCTTCATTGGTTGCTTGGCTTGTGTTAATTTTGGACCCTCTGTCTGTCTGTGTGTGTTTGTTTGTGTGTGTTAGTGTTCCAGTGTTACCTTTTAACTCAGATACAGTAATGGTTTGTTTTTGCGTTTCAGGTGCACAGGAATCTGTCCCAGCTGCCAAATTTTGCATTCTCCACTGCACTTTGCCATTTCCATCTCAGTCAGCAGGAAGATATGGATCCTGAAGAAAGTAACAAAGAAAGACACAAAGCTGACCTGATGCTTCAGGACTCTCTCATCATGTTCCCTGGAGGTTAGAAATGAACCACTACCATTGTATAAATATTTAGACATGCTTGCTTCAGTCAGTATAGTAAATATCACTTGCCATTCACATCAAAGAAGTCGTAAATGTGTATTTTCACATATATGTTGCTGTAAATGTGTTTTCTGCAGTCTTGATGCCTCTATTGGATCTGTGTACTGTGCAGCCAGATTCCACAGTCACTGCACACGCCTTCTTTGGCCCAAAGAGTCAGATAGGGTAATGTATGCTCCATTTGTTGTCTTAAGTGTTGCAAATCCAGCAATTAGCTGTGATATTAATATAGCATGGTTTAATTTATACTGTATAGCCGTTTATTATAACTAATACATTATATTATTGCTTTAATTTTTTTCCTCTTTACCAACCGTAACTTTGAAATTTCATCCTGCTTTATGTCTCTAGGCAGCCCCCAGCCCTGGCTGAACTTACTTCACTGTATGTGGGGAGGACTTGCAGCCTGTGGAGGGAGGCAGCAGTAATGCTGTGGTTGGAAGAGTCTGTGAAAGAGGTGCTTCGTCGAGTTGATGCCAAAGACCCTCTGGTGGAGGACTGCCAAAATAAGTAAGATATCAATAGATACTCTGCTGCCTACATTTCTGTGCAGTTATGCTCCATATGTTAGCATTCATTCTTCACTCTGTTTTAGGAGAAAGCAGAGGTATCAGAGTGCACCAAGGAACATCCATCGCCACGTTCTCCTCTCTGAAATCAAAGAAGCCACATCAAGCCTGCCTTTGGTGAGAAACAACCACACTTTAACACAGTTCACTGTATTCACAAAGTCCTCAATCCACTCCCCGATAGACACTAAGGGTGAGAGGTGAAATCTGTAGGATCAGAATTCAAATATGCTATCCACATTTTAAGTATCTTCACAAGCAAGAAAAGAATTTATAATCACACTACAAGAAACATGTGGTCTCTCAATCCCCGAGGCCCCAGTCTGAGATGGTCTTTATCTGCATGCACCAATGCTCTCTGATTTATAACTCAGATTTCACACTACGTCTGTGGATCAAATTTGAGATGACACTGATGCCCATATTTAGTTCCCCATAGATGTAACCATATATAGCCTTTTTGTTTTTTTTGTATTTTTTATGAATTAATTTATACCATTAACACAAAGCCAACAAACAAAAATACAACAAAGCATTTGATGTATCAAACTGTTAAATCCAATATAGAAAAAGGCTGTGTTTTCTCTGATAAATTTGTTATTTTGTTATTATATTTGTCTCTGAATCATAATTATGGTCACCCAAGGCAACACACCAAAAAGAACACCAAGAAGAAGTGTAATAATATATTACCAATGTACAACCAGTGGTAACTCACAGACTTTCAGATTATCCTATAATCTGTGTTTACAAGGCCTCAAGTGCAAGTATTAGGTATGATTGTTGGGACAACAAAGCTAGAGAAACATCACCTCTGGAATGTTCATGTATCTGTGAACTGCATGCCTTAGGAAACGACTCTAATCCTGTTCATTTGTTTGACATCTTTAGGAGGTGACCAGTCAGCCTGTGATGGGCTTTGACCCTCTGCCTCCACTGGACTCAGTGATGTCGTATACCCGGCCAGAGAGGTAATAGAGGACCCACATACCTGTGCACAAACCAACAGGCTTTGTCAATTTGCATTTACACTTTAATGAGACTTCTGTGTGTGTGTTTGTGTCTGCATATAGGCAGCATGTTGGTGCATCCAATGAGAGCACGTTGTCACTGTTTTTCCGGTCGTTGCTGCCAAACTTCAACCTTCAGGTGAGTTGGAAAGGGAATAGGTCTTGAATAATGATTTGGGTTTGTTGTTGAGTTGTGAGTTAGTTTTATGGAAGGATGCACATTATGGTTGTCTTCCAGGAATTAAGAAGAACATTTTTTTTTTTTTTTTATGCTGTACATCTCGGTTATAATTTGTGAATTTGAGTCCCTCCTCAATCTAAAGAATGATCTGTAGTGATTCTGTCATCTGAGGACACATTTTGGTGCTGTAGGTGTTAAATAGTGTAAAAAAAAAACTTCCTATAAAACTAACAAAGAACCCAAAGTGTGGATGTTGGAAAATCATGTGATCAACAGCTCTGAGTCCCACATTTAAATCAAGATAATTTGTAACAAATTGTGTAAACTCACAGAGCCTGTGAATAATTCACTACGAACTGACCTAAAATCATGAATTATCTTGAAGCTCTGATCTATTTTATTGAGTTTACTTTCCAACATCATAAATAATATAAAAAAATGTTGAAATGGGAAATGGTGGCACAATGTAAATTGTGTTTAATATTGTGTTTTCTATTTAACGAGTATTAAAATAACACACAGATACACCCATTTAGTAGCCTGAACCTCCAGGGCTGGTGGAAACATCTGAACTGGTAAAAGAAAGAAAAAATCTGGGAAACCATCTCAACAAAAACCTTAACTGATGGAATATTTCCTCTAAACACCCATGGCTACCCTAAGGGGATGACAACTGAGAAATATCAAAGAAAGCATATGACCTTGTTACAGTTAACAGTTTGTCCACCATTTCCCAGTGTGTCACCGAAGAACAAAACAGTAACAACATTCATAAAGTTTGTGGCCTTGCCTTTGCAGTCTCTTTCCTAAAAGTTAAGTTTGATGCTTGTATTTATTAATTATTCATTTATATTATAATTCATTTTACATTTTTCATGCCACTCTTGAATGATTGCTGTATTTAGAGGAACAAAATATTTGGAATATGTGTTTTAGTGTAGTGTTAGTTGAACACTACTTACATTTATTTAATCATTGATCAAACATTTCATTCCTACAATAGCTGGCCCTCATTTTGCCTATATTCTATTCAAAGAAAAGTTTAGTGCAGAAGACTGGCATGAGAATCTGTGGCTTCTGATGTCTACTCTCACAGACTCTTGACTGTTTGTACAGTGCTTTGTGTTTGAGACTGCACATGTGAAAGAAAGAAGTGGATTATTTAAGCTCTTTTTCTCAAAGAAGTGGATGTTACTCTGAAGCTATCTAGCATTTTTATATATTTTAGAGCAGAAATTCACTCAATTAACCAGTTAGTTATGTTACATAAATTAAACTGCCATGCAATCCTTAGTCCATATTGTCCTCAGCAACAAAGGAGTGTTTGCTCTTTCCGCTCATTTACTTCACATTATTTGCCTACCCCTTGTTCACTCAGAATGGACTTTAGTTTGGCCGAGACCATATGGTGACAAACACATTTTGATGTAGAGCAGGACAGCGAGATGTAGAACTGTCATTTTCAGTATAATCGAACCTTGTATGTTCATTTAACATACATACATTATGGCCACACTTTATGGAACGTTTTGCAGTGTACAGGAAAAGAAGTCCCACACACTGTTAACCCCCTTGTGGCCTTTTTATGTAAACATTTCAACATATGAGCTGCTCAACTCGGTAGACAGCACTGCAGTAACACCATACATAACCATAGTTGTTGTTGGCTGACCACTGTTGTATATTAATAAGGTTTATATACTCTGTATTTCAACCTGAATGATAGTTTTTTGGGGAAATATATTTTTTTTTAATGTGTGTCAATAATGTGTGTATAATTTGGAATTTTCTGATCCCCTAGTAGTAGCAACAAAAAAAGCACTGTCCCACACAGCAATGTGCATCATATTGGTGTTTCCTATGAAAGGGGTATTAGAGAAATGGGCTGAAAGCAACAAATAGACTGAACCCATTTCCACTGGGTTTGTTTTATTTTCTACAAACAAAAACTTGCCTTTAGAATAATGTGAAAGATACCTGTAACAACATAACAGTCTGTAAATGGCTTATAATGTGTAGTGAATAATGTAAAGGCTACTTGTTGCTGGATTTGACTGTTGCTAGAACGAGTCTGGTTTATGTCCAAACAAGTTTAAACTAGCTGATTTTAAGACCGTATCTTCAACATAGAACAGTGTGTACCTAGGTGATCATAAATGTTACGTAACGTCTGTGTATGCATATTTCTCTATTTTTGTATACAGGGACTCTAATATGTGAAGTTACAGAGTTTAGTTTCTCATTGTTGGTCTTTTAGTCCACTGCCAGTGTGCACTGCAGCCACTTTAAGATACATATCAGGTACAGCCACACATTGAACATATTGTGGGTCCGCTATACATGCTAAATGTTAACAGATGGGCCCAGGGCATGTTTCCATCAGGACAGTTGTATCCATCCTGATCATGTTATCCACTTATGGAGAGGAAGAGATACAATATGGATAAAAGAAATATAGTTAAGAGGAAGTAAGATGTGCTGCTCAGTTATTCTTCTTTTCTTCTTTACAGAAATAGAGTTACATATCTGAAAACATATATAACACAACCCTAGATTACCCTGGTTGAGGGTGCATTGTGTTTTAAAAAATATAAGTACATAATTTATAATAACAATAACAGTAAACTTAAAATATACAGGACTTTCAAAACAATTTTACAAAATGCTTTACATTGTTGAACCAGGAAAATCAGACAAAATAAAATGATAGGATGAATTTGAAATAAAATAGCTTTGAAATATGTCAATGAGTCTGCAAGCCTCAGGCAGGGAGTTCCAGAGCCGATTTAGTATTAATAACTTAATAACAATAATAACTTTATAAATAAAATAACAAGACAAATCAAGCGCTTCCAGTGAGGTGAGATTGTTGAACTAGTGGTAACTATTGCAGGATTTTCTTAAAATACTCTTAACAAATTATAAAATATAAGAAATATAAGAAAAGATAAGATACACCAGCAATGGACTAACGAAGAAAGTACTTTGATTCCAGATATCTGTATACTGTCTCTTTTCTTGTTAAGGGTGGACTGAGGCAGGAGGATGACATGGAAGTGGCTCGAGCCGGTCAGGAGCTGAACCAGGAAGTGAATCGTCTAATGGTGGCGATGAGGGACATGCTGGCAAACATCAGGTTTCAAGAGCCGCCGAGAGAGGACAACCCCTACAGAGATGAGGAGGAATGGGACTGACTGAGGAGGAGGGAGACAGAGGTGGAATTTTCAAGTGTGAGGATGAAGAGGAATCAAATAGACAAATAAACGTAATAAATGTCATGACATTAAGAAAAATATTTAATTGTGTTTATAATAATTAAAAGGAGATGGAGTGGGACAACTGAATAGTATTTTTTTTAATCCCATTTTAATTTTAGTCACAAGTACTTAGGTGAAAGGAAGAGATGACTCGGAGCCTGTTCACTCCTCTACTTTAGTGACATGGATAAAGACAAATACTCTGGGTGGTTTTATTAACATGGGGAACTGGGGAAAAGTCAGATTGGTTAGTTGCAGTAACCTGCCATAAAGTTGACAGTGTTATTTAAAATAATTGCAGTTCCAACATCTCCAACACAAAATGGCCGCTACTCTTCGTTCTTTCTCCTGTGGTTTAGAGTTTTTAATGTTCACAAACACTGCTTTATGAAATAAGAATAAAGTTGAAACAGTCCTCACGTTGAGTGGATGTTCTGTATCACGGATTCAACGTTTGGCTTGGCAGCACTTTTTTTTTCTTTGCCACAGAATCAGAGTTTTTATTCTCATTGAACAGCTCCTATCGCTTACATTAAAATGCATCGTTGGAAAAGCAGTTCAACACATCAATGTCCATTTTAACTTTCAGTATCTGTAAAAACTGTAGGCTAATTAATCATGTGTAACACAGCGTGGAATATTTCATAGTTAAATTCTGAGCCAGGCAATAGTTTTAAATCTGTTTGGGGTGTATTTGCAAATGGGATATTAATTCAATTGGGTGTTGGGAATATTCAGCAAGTCATACCCCACCATTTAGATCTTTCATTTCTAGGAAATGGACTACTGAGATAAACCCACCCAACCAATTAGGAGAAATTTCGTAACATTTTTCAGAGAATCATTTCTAAAGGGACACTGTCACCATAATCATCTTGTAAAGAGTTAATCTGATGTAAACCAAAATATGTAGTAAAACACATCAATTAAAAAGTCAATATACACAAAGCTCTTCTGTGAATTACAGCTTTGTTTACCCAGCCCTCAGCCTTCTGTGCTTTCCTACCAAATCGTTTGCTAAAAAGTTCCAAAATATGGCAACTGACTCCCAAAAAAGGAGGAAATAAACACATAAAATAATATGAATGACCTTGGTACTATAAACAGTAACCACAAATTGCATTACGGTATTTCAGAAAAGTTCCTTCAAATTCATTTCTGATGGGGTCTTAGTGAGATCCTGTTAGGGCTGATTCTATTGTGACTGCATTCGTTAATTTGTTTAGTCCTGTCTCCTGCTAATTTCATTGTTTACTAAATCACAACTGTCACAGTGCTGGGAGAAAAAAAAAATAATCCTGTTAAATTGATATTTTTCCCACATTTGTCACATGGTCATTACAAAACTGCAGTCTGAGAATCTGGTCACATTTTCTTGGGCTTCTAGTTCATGTTTTTTATTCTTGTGTAAATCATTACTGCAGGGTGTCTGTTTTCCTGTTTTCTTATGCTCTCTTGCTTCCGGCCGCTGTGTTTGGAACTGTTTCTCACATCTTAATTTGAGTTGGCTTTCCAATATTTGATTATTTGTGGCTTACTGAATTTCTCCAGTAGTCTGCTGCTTTTCATCAAGATATATTCAGTGCAGTAGTATGGCAGATATTTTATATGTTTTTCCTAAATTGACTTTAATATTTCCTTTGCACTCATGACCTCACTCAATATTGCTGATTCCCACTTGGAATCTGAGGCTGTAACTGTACTTATACAATAACAATATATATCACTTGTAACCGACATCACTTATGTTTCACCATTTCCCAGTGTCTCACGCTTGTGTTGCTGTTTTTTATCAGAATTAGATGCTGTCTTGGCCGAAGCCCTTACATCGTTTTCATCTGGCAGAAGCAAGAATCTGTCTCATGATGTGCTTATTTTGTCTTCCTATCAAACCCCTTACACAAAAAGATGTCACACAAGGATACCAGTTGGAGCTCTAAAAAAAAAAAAAATCCATGAATCTCTTTTCTGTATCTTTTTACTTTTTAGCCACAATTAGCACTCCAGATTTTCATTAGAAATAGAAAATATTCAACCTAAAGGCTTTCCAGGAATTAAACTGTGGAGACACTGAACAAATCACCCTCTATACATACTGTAGCCGTCCATACACTAACTTCGTTACTCAGTGAGCCGCATGATAACACAATGTGACTGTGCTGCAAAGTCAAATGATGTCATTGTTCCCAGTTCACCTGGAGCTATGGTTGAGGCTGTTAGAACTTTTCATGTGATCCATCGGCAGTATAGAAAGGCTTTCATATCAGTGCCTCAGAAGGAGCTGTGTGAGGCTCGGAGGCCGTCTGATGTGACTACAATGTTGCCACCATTGCTGCACAATTTGTTATAACTGCATAAATAATGAAAATCACAGTAGCCGAAAATCAGTAACGATAACTCTCACTTCTCCAAAAACTACTGCAAATTTGATTTGATTTGTTTCAACCAAGCTATCTTCTGTAAAAATACACTGTGATGAAAGGATTTCAAACAAGTTCAAATGTGTGTAGGGCTGCAGCTAATGATGATTTTCAATCTGCAGATTATTTTATGGAGGCCTACGTTTTAAAAAAACAAAAAAAACAAACCTGACTGAACACCCACTAATTACATTTTTAATTATAGGCAGTTAATTGAAAAGGCCAGTTTTTAAAGATCTTTTTTTAAAGCAAATAATTGTCAGTAAATATAGGACACTAACTATAATATGTTTATAAATAATATCTGTAGATATAATAACACCTTAAACAGTCTCCAAAAGAAATCTTGCGCCTTACACTGGATGTCCTTTTTCCTCAAACCTACACTGAAACTCTTAAGTAGATTGCCATACTGTCTTGGCATTAAATCTTATTGTTACATCAGCATTCATTTCAGAAAAACATGGCTGATTATGTTAAAATAATGGGAATATTTACTTAGGATGACTTTTCAATCCATTTTAGTTTATGACTAGACACTTGAACATCTTTAAGCTGCAAAAAACATGTTTATTGAGCTGCTCAGATTCCGCTGTGATGTCTGTAGTTTGACGGTATATCTTCACACTGTATACACAAATATTATTTTATATTTACACTAACATATTCCTCTCTATGGTGAGTAAAAGACAGCTTTTGTAAGAAGCCGTATGGGTCGTTCCACATACATTTCCTCTATGGGTTAATAACGTCACACATTTTGAAAGATTTTTCATGTATGTTTGCTTTGGTTTGTTCAGCTGAGGCTTTCGCCCTTCAATCCCCCCTTAAATGTCAGCATGACTTCAGAACAACAATATTTACTGCAGAATTTAACCTGATTGAGTCCTCGCGTCTGTTTAAATCGTAACGGACAGAAGGTCAGCAAGGTCAAGAAACTGAAGGCATCAAACTCAAATCTAATTTCTTAATTAAAGGATTGCTTCATATTGATTCATGCCCATGTTCACGCTGGCCACAGAGAAATCCCCTCTTAAAGCAATTTGAGTGTAGGCGAGGGAGGACATATTCACATCCCTCGGCCTGTGCAAAAATGCATTCCCCAATTCAGCCAAAGGCACTATGCCACTTCAGCAGTCTGAGTTGGACAGATCAAGTGCATATCTTTCAAAGTGACTGTGTACAAGGTCATTAATGTCTCTAATGACCAGCTGAAGCTTCACATTAGCTTAATATTACCAATATTGTGAGCTTTGTATCAAAGTGCACTTGTAAGCCTATCCTTTTAATAGTGATTTAACTTCTAGATTGGATTCAAAAGGTAAAGTAACTGCAGATACAGATGCTTTTTAAAGCTCAGGAACAGAAACGTGTACAGAAAAAAAATAATAATAGGAAACGGTGCAGCATTTACTCGAACAAACGTGTAACAGAGGAATTACTTGGGCTGAACAACGCTGAACAAAATCATCACCGCCCTGCTTTCTTCTCCATCTTCCATAATTAGTGTCATTCCAGACAGGATCGCAGCCCAGCTGACGTTTGCGTGAGAGGAGGAGTCGCCTGAAGTCCCTCAGGATCCAGCATCACTTTGAGAAATGTTCAAGCAAGTCACAGTCTCCAACTCCCGAGGTATCCGAAGACACTTTTCTCACTATCAGCATGTTGGTCAGATCAGTCTGAACTGATAAAGGGAGCTCAGCGGACGGGCGGGTCGGGAGCACAATGAGTGTGAAGTGAACCATGAATTGTGGGCGCAATGTTTTGATGGAGAAGGACTTTTTAAGGATCTCAGTGCTGGGCGAGTTGCATCCATAGGAAAGAAGACGACTTTCGGCCGGGAGACGCACTCTTCAGACGGACAGACGCGCAAATTCTACTCCCTGCTGCGGTGCGTTCATTTAGCAGCCGATACGTTTTTATTTACTAATGGATGAAATAACTTCTCGGACAAGTCGCTTGATTTTTCTCCTCCCAATTTCCCACCAAGCTTTGTATTAAAAGCACCGCGTGTACACCAAACAGCCATCATAAAGAAGTCAGACATGGAAATGAACGAGTCCCAGCAAAAACCCTACATCCACCACGTGGATTTCGGCCCGCTAAATGACTTTATGGAGGAGAACGAAACCAACCTCACCACCGGAGAGCGGAACTCTCTGGGCTGCGTGCAGATCCGCATCCCCCAGGAGCTCTTCCTGGCGCTGGGGCTCATCAGCCTGGTGGAGAACATCCTGGTGGTTCTGGCTATCTATAAGAACCGCAACCTGCACTCTCCCATGTACTACTTCATCTGCTGTCTGGCCGTGTCCGACATGCTGGTCAGTGTCAGCAACGTGGTGGAGACCATGTTCATGCTTCTCAACGACCACGGCCTGTTGGACGTGCACCCTGGCATGCTCCGCCACCTGGACAACGTCATCGACGTGATGATCTGCAGCTCCGTGGTGTCCTCGCTCTCCTTTCTGTGCACCATCGCCGCGGACCGCTACATCACCATCTTTTACGCGCTGCGTTACCACAGCATCATGACCACGCAGCGCGCCGTCACCATCATCGTGGTGGTGTGGCTGGCCAGCATCACCTCCAGCATCCTCTTCATCGTGTACCACACCGACAACGCCGTCATCGTGTGCCTCGTGACCTTCTTCTGCACCACCCTGGTGTTTAACGCCGTGCTGTACCTGCACATGTTCCTCCTGGCGCACGTGCACTCCCGGCGCATCATGGCTTTCCACAAAAGCAGGCGCCAATCCACGAGCATGAAGGGAGCGATTACCCTCACCATCCTGCTCGGGGTCTTCATTTTATGCTGGGGGCCCTTCTTCCTCCACCTCATCCTCATCCTCACCTGCCCCACCAGCCCCTTCTGCAACTGTTTCTTCAGGAACTTTAACCTCTTCCTCATCCTCATCATCTGTAACTCTCTCATCGACCCGCTCATCTACGCGTACCGGAGCCAGGAGCTGCGTAAAACCCTGCAGGAGCTGGTCCTGTGTTCTTGGTGCTTCGGCGTGTGACAGCATGTACATTAAGGATGAAAACGAAAGCATCAGGTTATCAACAATGTCGGCTACCTCTTCTTCGCGAATCAACATTGTGTCAGAGGCTGAAGTAGCCTAAGCCGTGGCTAATGCATGCTTGAACTGGCAGATGATGCCCTTTTTATAGGCTTACAACAAAGACTGTCTCTGATCAAGATTTTTGTACATCTCATCGGCTTCGGTTTTACTTGCACAGGTTCACGCACTGCCAAACATCTGGACATGTAACAATCATTAGATTGGAACTCATGGACGAAAGAGTCAGGTGGTCACTGGACTCAACTGACAAGCATTTTATTTTTGTTAAAACAAATACAAATATTAAAAAGTCTTTCCCTCTGTAAATAAACTTGGGTTTCCTTGGGTATATAAAAGTGCCTTTGTTGGTCGAAATATGTGAACTGTGCTTTTAAAAGTTACCTTTTCAGAAATCAAGAGAAGAAACAGAACATCTGGAAAACTGTTAAATTATATCTCTATTTCATTAAATAATGTTGTTGTAATGTAGTGTGTCTGCATTTATGGCCTATATAACTTATTGGACACAGCCAATGAGACATTATTAAGACTTGGTGAATCTGCTCATTAATGACAAAATGTCTCTGCATTATGCCAGAAGCTGAATGTTTTTCTTAGGGAACTACATTTAATAGAACTCGACGAAGTTTGATAAAAACAAGCTTTAAAGACATTGTGATGTGTTATAGCCTAGAGAAGCAGCCTTATTACCACGTGAGGTCTGGTGTTTGATGTTTTTCCTGTCCGGGCCCTTTCATTCAGTTGAACGCCGTCTGTTTCCTACTGTTTCAAAAGAATTGCCTCATTTGCGCATCGCATCATCCGAAAAAGAGATGCATTAATTCTAATGAGAATAATGTTTACTTAATCTACAATTTATTATGAAATTTATTGAATTTAGCAATAAATGGGTCTGGATAAGTTGATGAAGCGTGGTATTGAAAAAGAGCAGGTAAGAGGCCAGGTGAAAGAAAAGCGTTAAAACGATCCGAAGCGTCTTAAAACGCTTGTTGCAGTCTATTTGGTGGCTTTGCGTGAGGATTACTCCCCCACATGAAATGTCCGGATGACTGAAGGAAAAAAAGGATGGGCTAAATCACATGAACGGCCTCGTTTGGTTGTAGGCCTGATGCCTAGGGCATAAGAGGGTTTATGAAAGAAAGCATATCGAAGTTAAAGCCTATTTCTGGACGTTTGTGCGGTTCTCTGAAATATACAAACGGGGGTTTGAGCCTGATTTCAGTTATGTAGGTCAAACAAGTGAGACATTGGCGCTGATGCCCTCTGGGGATGTTTTTGTAAAATGTATATTTTATTCTATTAGACCAATGTTTTTTTTTTTTTCTATGTAACTGGCGCAGAAGTGAAAGCCAGGCAAATATATGGAACCACCAAAAGACCCCTTAAGAAAATTAAGAAGCTAACATGTTTAATCTTTATTTTACTTTTAATTCTTTTGATATCCTATTATTTATTGATCCTAAGGATATGATGTAAATAGGACCTTCATTTTAAACTCTAAGTGAAAGGCAGTTATATTACTGTATTTGAGCCATAAAATGTACATTTTTTTTCTCCCAATACACAGTCCTGGGGCATAAGTGCTTTGGCACAATTGTTTCCAAACTGAGTGAAAAAGACTCACAGATCCCCTAAAAACAATTAAACTTTACTGGTTAAATGATGGAAATGTGATGTAATGTGAAATGTGCATGTTAATACTGAGAATAATGTTGTACACTGTAGTACTTGAATAATTGCCAGAGTATTTGCTGCTGAATAATATATCATTTACACAGTCCCCACTGTTATCACTGAATTCAGTCCTTGGTATTTTTCAGTGTCATTTTTCAATTGATTTAGAATGGTCACTTACTTTACTTTTTCTTTTTTTGTAGGTTTAGTAGTATTTTTGTTTCATAACTTTATGTGTAACTTCTTTTTTGTGTGGGAGTTGTTATAGAAGATTGTGAATGTACAGAATGGTTGTCTGGTATTAAAGATAATAGCACTGTGGCACTCAGTACTTGGTTGTATCCAATAAACTAAACCTGGCTCAACAATTGTAAATGCTCTGGGTATAAAAAATAACAAGTTGTACAGTTATAGAAGGAACGTGTGTATATGTAATCCTTGAAATTATTTACACGTTATTTATTAGTCTCAAAGAAAGAGGCCAAGACAAGAAGAGCTTGTGCTAAATTAATTATAGTGGCAGCATTATTCACCCCTGTGATATATTTATCTTTCCTCTTGTTATATATGCTTAGTTAGCAGGTGGTTCTAGCTATTTGGACACCAAATATCCAAACCAAGGCTTCATTCATGTGTTTCCTAACAAGATCAGAGTGTGCAAATGGCTCTGCAGTTAGCACCAATATGATTACAGGTATTAAAGTCTCTATTCATGACACCTTCACAAGTATCTCTGCAATATCTGCTGATAATCTGATAATAAGAAGATAGACGACATGTAAACTCAACTGTTCAACCTTTAACATTTAAGTGCAACATGAACACTTTATTTCTGTCATATTTTTTTTCAGCAGACAGAAGGACCATTGATATAAAACACCACAGAGACGTTTTTGAAATGCTCTGTTTTTAAACTCATGATCAAGTTCTGTAACTGTGCTGTAAATAACATCATTGAAAGGAAGGGGATTTCCAACTGGAACAAATATAAATCCTCATCCTGTCCTCAAGGAAGAAATTAAAAATCTTAATTGTTTTAAATCATTCCATAAATTACTGGGTTTATTATAGTTCGTCCACATCTGCATCATTGGGAAAATAAGTAAATAAAATGTCAATTCACAGTTGAAGAGAGAGAAAGAGCAAGAGCGAAAAAATGTGAACATGTACATTTTCAATATATTTTTAAAAAATGTTCTTAACTTCTTTTTTTTATTTTTTTTTACTTTACTTTTACTTTAAATTTGTGTACCAATGGTTTAAAACAAACATACCATTGCTTGTTTTATTACCATAATCCTATATTTGGAACTTTTTGGCATAGTGCTTGTTGTTTTATAAGATTATGAAGTAAATAAAAAATGAATAAAGAACCCTTCATAATGATATAGTGATAATTGGTTAAAATTAAAGATGCAGTCCATGTTCTTGAGATCTGTGCTGACTTTGTTTGAAGACCAAACCTGACCTCAATATTGTAAATCAATAAATTAATGATAAAATAAATTTACAAATGAATTTGAACTGAATTAATAATAAATCTAAATCCCAAGAAATAAATTGCCATCTATCCATCCATCCATCCATTATCTATAACCACTTATTCTTTGGAGGGTCTTGTGGGGAGCCAAACCCAGGCGACATTGGAATAAATTTGAAGAATTTCAAGAATAAAATTGAATGAATGAATCTATAAATGTTTAATACATCTCATTATTACATTATTTTTCTTTGAGTACAGTTTATTATTTAAATTCTTTTCACACTGATTACTTTTATTTAATTACTTCATTAAAAAAATCTTAATAAGTCAGGGTTGCTCCTCCCAACAGGGCATGCAGTAGAGCCAGTTGACTAATTGATCACATGATGCCCTGGCTTTAGAGAAACAATTAACCCCTTAAGCCAAAAACAGAAATGTCTTGTGCTCTTAAAGACTTTCCATCATTGCCAATAAAGTAAATAAAACATTAATAAGGAAGTAGACACAGACATGACATAGATATGCCACTTGACCATAATTATTCCTAATTAGTCCAAAGAATGACCAAAGTGTGACTGTATTATTTGCAGGGAGCAGCCTGTTTACTGCTAGGGTTAGGGTTATGACTTCTTTCATTTAGCTGCACAAAGCGGCTCTGTTCACAGCTAGGAAAAAACTCCACAGCTGCCGTCTAAACAACAAACACACTCAAACTATAATCATTTTAAGTCATCCATATGACCAGAAACCAAGGCTCTGACCCTCAGCGAATGACACAAATAACATATTATATGTTAAAAAGTATAGATTTTAATTGGAAACGAATACCAACGTAACCTCGGAATAATTAAAAAATCCTGAATACTGAAACAAACAAATGCTAGTCACCAAGAGTGTCAGTGATTGTTTCTGTTATGCAGATTCTGATAAGACTGCTTCCATATTAGTCTTCACTTACTGTTGCCTTTATACAAGTAACAAGTTGATTGCCTCTCCAACTGTGTACAACATGTTGTCTTAAAGGTTGTCCTTTAGCAAAGATTTCTCTTGAATTGCTTGGCTTTACATTGATCCATTGATCTTTAGTTTTCTTATTGCTCTCTCTCTTTATGCTCTGTGTAATGCTCCAAATAAGCTCCAATGCAAATCCCACATGATCACAGCCTCCAGTGTGAAAAAAGAAAAAGACTGTCAGCTGCTGACCAGAATATTTAGGCTCACAGATTTAAATGTAATATGCATGAAAATCCCAGAATCT